TTTTTTCATCAAAGTTTAGTGTTCGTTTGGCTTCGTTTTACATGAAAATTGTCCATTAAAATGAAAATTCTTTTTACAATTGATTATCAAATTTGTTTCTATTGCCAAAAAAAAAAAAAAAAATGAAAAACAACAAGAAAACCTTTTCCCAACATTTTGGTAGGAAAAGGTTTTCCACAAAAACCAGCCAATTGTGCACGTGTGGGCACAAGTAAGAAAATATTTTGCCAAGAAAATTGTGCCCATCAAACAACCAAAATGGTAGAAAATGGAAAACAAATTCATAGTTCCATGGAAAAGATGTGTTATCAAACACACCCTAAAATTTGGTCAAAATGGCTCTCAAACATGGGTCATATAATTTATGCTACAATGACACAGTAAAATAGCAATCGACTGATGGCCTTTTAAAATAGTAAAAGTTCTAAGTGGAACCCCATAAAAAACCATATTCAACATTAACCAATGGGAGACCAAGATTTCTCGCCAAACGAGGGCTAATTTTTAGAAAGAAACAAATCAAAGGACTATGAACACAAACAGTTCTATAACCATCCAAAATTTCCATGTTCTGAACCACTCTACCTCACAGTAACGATGTCATCAATCTTCAAAATCGTACTTACAAACTCGGTGGCCAAGGTAATTGATCTCACCCTGTGCGTGCCTATTCCTCAGCTCCTCCATGATTTTAGTGATCTGTCCCTTCCTCACATTGATCCCTGCATTGATCTCACCCTGTGCGTGTCTATTCCTCAGCTCAGTCACAATGGTAATCGGTCTCAAACCTGCATTCTCATTCACTGTATATGGAATAACCTCAAGAGCTCAGCAAATGCCTTGTACCCTTCCATCCCCTGCAGCACCTTAGACCATGCACCCAACTGCCTTGAGAGCTCAATCTCAGGCGCACCACCGCCTGCAATTAGAAACCTCTTGTTCACCAAACACCTCACCACACAGTGCATCATGCAAACTTCTCTCGGCCTCATCAAGAACCATCTGGTTCGATCCACGGACGAGAACACTAGTAGTTCTCCCCATATCCTTAATCCCAGTGATCTTGACAATCTATCCACCATCCACAAGCGACACCTCCTCTATCAAATTTGCATACCCCAACTTTTCAGTACAGAAATGCTCAATGTTTGATATCGGCAAGCAATTTAAAGTCTTGCTAATGAACTCAATTTCATCCCTCTCGACATCCTTAATTACCAAAATCTTTGCCTTGGCCAAGTATGTAGTGACAAGTCTGTCACCGCATCCCTCAAATTACTCTTCTGAATCAATAGCACGTTACAGCCAGTTGCCTTAAATCTTCTTAATCATACCCAAAATATAGTTCCTCTCCTCCTTCAAAATCCTATCCATCTACGTCTAATCAGACACCACAATGCTTTGCTCTATGTCAGTTTTAGAGGAGATATCTGAAACTGTATCACCCCAATCTTAGCATTTTCCATTTTGTTAGTGTTGGAATTTCGTATTGGAAATTGGTTGTGACCAATTGAAATGATTTAAGTGGAAATTCATTGTTTGGTGAATGAGAAATTAAGCCAAACTTAAACCACTTAATACTTGAAATTATTGGAATTGTGTAGAATATTGTGGAATATTCTAGAGAATGTAGATGAAAAGATGTGTCTTTTCATATGGATCATGACTCTTGGAGAGCATGACTTTTGGTATGAGTAACTTCCAATAATTATGATTATTCAAGAGATGTGTCTCTTGGTATGGATGTTCCAACTACTATATATATGGATTCCCTATGTGTTTGGATT